TTCTTGAATTTATCATCACAATATTAGTTCTCTCTTTTTTAAAAAAAAATTTGGTGTGTTGTGAATGTGACAATAATGTGTGATGTGATGAAATCACTTGTTTCTTGGCCTTTTATTTTGTTGTTGACATTATAGATTGACATGTTTGATATTATGAAATGTTATGTTTGTCTATATATATTACTATCTCTGAAATTATAGTTTCAGCTGATATTGTGTAGTGTTACTATAGCACTATGGCGCGAGATGACAGATTTATATCTTTTGAATTAAAACCCGCAAACCTCATTACTCCGTATATGTTAAGGTTTTTAAAAGATCAAAGCAGATTTAAAATAAAAATAATGAAACTAGCTCCTATTTTAGAGATAAAAAGAACTCTTGGAAATACTCGTGAAGCCCCGAGGCTTCAAACTCTCTCTCTCTGCCACATCAGTTTTAACTTACACCAAAAATTCACTGGAAATGGGTTTGAAGCCCCGGGGCTTCAAACAGGGGCTTTAAACCTTCATTTTTTACATTTTTAAATATACATCTTCTAAATTTAAATTAATTTATTATTTAAATTAATCAAAAGGAGATTAGTACATTAAAAAATTACATTCATTAAAAAAATATTACATTTATAGAAGAATACATTCATAAAAAAGTTTCATTCATTAAAAAAATATCACATCCATAAAAAAATAACACTACAAAGAAATTACTAATTATTCGAGCAACTAAAAATATTTTCATTCAAATCCGAGTTGTAGTAACATATTGCAAACTGAAATAATTCATCAAATAAAAAATACAGTCAATAAAAAAAAGTATGTTAAATTTAATAAAAAACAAAACAAAATTACATTACTAAAAAAATTTAAACAAAAAAATATTACATTAAAGAGAGAGTGAGGGGGGGAAGAGCTTTGAAGCCCGTTAAACATTTGAAGTAGAAGAAATGAAGCCCGGATGAAGCCCCTAGGAGGCGGTGTTTGCTGCCTCTTTGGCGTTAAAAGGGGTAATAACGCCCCGGGCGTTACGCCCATTACCAGTGCTCTTATGTTTAAGCATATTTTAATCTTTTTCTCATATTTTTTAATTTTCACGTGTAGTCCACAAAAGACTGATCATGAAATAGTTTTCAAATATAAATTATAGAGTATCACGAATATAATTTTTTTTACATGTGAAAACATTGCTCTTATAAAGAACTACAGAGTATTGCTAAATCCGCCCTCAAAATGAGTATGTTCGCACTTTTTTCTCTACATTTGCTAAATCCACATGCATTAGCATAACTTTAACATTGATATGGATTTAGCAAATTTAAGTAAAAGGATTGATATATACAACCTTTTTGGGATGAATTTAGCAGCAGCCTTTATAAAATTACTCAGTTTTTTTTAAAAAAAAATTATAGAAATATTTCATTTAAATTATTTGATTGAATACTACTTTGATATGAAATTTATTTTATTTTTTCATTTTAATTAGGAGTAAATGAAAATAGGATTAAATGTAAAAATAGGAGTACTTACAGTGTGGGCTTTGCCAATTCCTCCCACAATTGCACAAAATGTTGCCACAGCATCGGCACATAAGGCAACCCTAGAGCACGGATCTTGTGGACACCTCATTTTAATGTAGGATTACTCACTAATACTTCTTAATGACTCTCTAATATGGGATTATTATTATAATTATAATATAATGATGATGCAGCAGAGGACAGCATCCTCCCAATATATATATACTTTCTCCATCTCTAAATGATTTACCTTTTTACTATTAAGGTTTTCTCCCTGATTAAAAGAAAAAAAATGAAAAATATCAAAATATGAGTTTGAATTCGTTCAAGACCAAAATATGAATATACTGGCAGTGTAGTATTAGAGTACGCGTTGGTACTCTGGTGACCGACGACGACGAATGGCAGTGTGGCATTTTCAATGTAACAATGTGATGAGTGTCCCTTTGTAACAATGACAGTGTGAATTCATATTTTGGTCTTAAAAGACTTTTGACTCTAGTTTTGGTATTTTTATAGTTTTTACTTCTATCTAGGGAGTTCTCCCTTGAATTTTTTTATTGTTTGCGTATTTTCATTGATTATTTGATAAAATAATATATTTTTTGTTTTCATTTAATTTGTTTGGTACTAGTTAAACTTTTGATGTTCTTTTTTAATATATAATTTCTATTTTTTTTATTTAAAATCCATTCTATAAACAAAACTATTGTAAAAGTCACAAAATTTGATCCAAAGGTGTAATTTATTTTGGGACGAGGAGTACGGATGACGTCCCAAGTTTTTCCCAGTCCCGTATTTTCTCCGTAACTTGTATGGAATTTCATCGCGTTTAACCTACTCATTTTTAATCTTTTCCTTGTTTTCTGTTGATGACAACTAATATTAATATTTAAAATCTATAATTTGAATGAAAAGTATTTAGCTTTTATTTTACCCAGTAACTTTTTTAGGGGTAGAAATATAAAGCACTCATTTTAGAAATATAAAGCACTCTTTCTAGGCGTAGATATATCTTTTTCCAGAGTAAAAAAAATGGTCCAAATAATTTTTGTTTACTTTTGTACTTCTTCTGCCCAACTTTTCAAAGTCCAAAAAATGGTGTCTTTAAAATATACTCCTTATAATTTTTGGATTATTTTCTAGTTGTCCCTTGTTTATAATATGGTAACATATGAAGTGTAAGATAAATGAGTCATAATTAAAAAAAATATAATAGAGTAAAATTGATCTTCAATCTTTAAATTAAAGATTCTTGCATTAACTTTGGTCAAATATTTGACCACAAAGTCAAATAATTGACCATGAAGTTAAAAAGTGGAAAAATTATGCAATTGAAGGGAACGCAGGGTGCGTTTGGGGTGGGCCAGGGGGTTTGTTAGGCTAGGGGGTTTGTTAGGCTAGAAGGGAATGAATAATCAATTTTACGAATAGAACAGCGTAGCTTGCATTGTTGAGATAATGAGACTTCGAGCATCTCTAATTGTAGAAGTTTCTAATATTAGCAGCATTGATTCCTTTAACGGCTTTAAGGCTCCGTTTGGTATGCGAGAATTAAGAACAACAATTCCAATTCTATTCTTTGGTAGCACACAAAAATATGTAGATTTGGATTGGTAGTGCCAAAAATGAATTGGAATTGGAGAATTCAATTGCATCAAGATCAATTCTATAGAATTTTAATTTCTCATTCAATTCCAATTCCATCAGTTCCGTGTACCAAACATACCCTCCAAATTTATTTTTTTTTCTCCCCCATCCTCTAACGTAAATATGCGTTTTTATGTTCATCGCTGTATTTTTTATTTAACGCCTTCATTCTGTGCTTCTCTTTGATTTATTGGATCTAGTTGCTGGTTTGTGTTCTTGCTAGTTTCAAATCTAGCTGCAAAAGAAAGACCGTTTATTTATTTTTTGCAGTCTGTTTAATTTTTGCATCATTTTTTGGAGTTTATATAACCTTTCATGTAGTTTACAGCAATTTTTTTCAGTTGCAAAGTACCGGTCCTAAAAATCTTTCATGTTTTAATTTTTTGGTCAAATAATGACATTCTTTGATCATAAATTAAACATAATCTGAATAAACAAATGATATAAAAATTTAATATATCAAAACTATATTTTAAGATAAACCCAAATATATTACTCCGCGGTATATTTATACTATAATTAAATATACTTTTTTCTCACAATTTATGATAAAAATGTGTCACTATTTGATCAAAAAAGTCAAAAAATATGAAATATTTTTAGGACCGGAGAAGTACAAAAGTTGCATCATTTTTGTAGCTTATATAACATTGTGTGAAAAATAATAATATTGTTAGAATATCATTTTATTGGGAAAATTGTTTTTTAAGTTTACATGACACTAAATTGTGTTTTAAACAAAATTATAGATATTTTATTAATCTAAATTGACCTGAGGAAAATATCAATATTTTAAATGAAAAAATAATACTCCATAATAAAACTAGTTCCTCTGCCCCCAATTAAATAACATGTACACTATTCATGTAGTCAAATTTTATCCACTTTATTTACCTAATAATAATAATAACAACAACAACAACAACTATAATAAAATATGGAGTGCTATGTAAAATATACTTAAATAATTTTTTGAAGTTTTTTTCTATTTTTTCTAGTTTCTTCAAACATACAATTTTTTTCCCAGTCCTACGGAACATGCTCTAAGACAAATTCTAAATTTGTGTTGACTTTTTAATTTTACTCTTGATATAACCTTGATGTGATATGATTCGAGGGTGTAAAATAAGGGTGAGAAAAAAATGAGAGGCTTAAAAAGTGATTGAAGAGAAAGTGTGTAAAAAGAATTGAAAATGTAGGAATGTTATAGTATATTTAGAGCATGATCTCTTCACCTAATTTGAATAGTTCTGATTTGATTAGAATAAACTCTGATATAATCTAAAAGTAGTTATATTTAAAATTATTTTTTATCAAATCTAGTTGAATCTAATTTCAATAAAAAAAAGTAATAAATAATAAGAAAACATTGAAGAGAAAATGGCCTTAGTAAGTTGATAATACCAAAAGAGGGAGACTAGTTTTGGACGCCCAATTTAAAACATGACTCTTGTTTTGTGACAGATGTATCTCACGTGGATACATAAAAAATATACTACAGTCCTTTTTTTTCCTCTCCAAATAAAGATATCATGGACCTGACAAAGGCATGTCTCTTTAACTTAACCCTAAGGCCTACAAGCTTTCTACATTAATAAGCTGATCACAATATATGTATCAACTTAAATTTGAGAAGCAAAATAAAGGTGAGATAATAATTGCAAGACATTGTAAAAGGGTCAATGTAAGACTTCATTTATTTCCAAATATAACCCGAAAAATCTAGTGTGACGGCTCGAAAAGGAAACTAAGAAGAAAGATATGGGACGGAGGGGGTAGCGATTATGTGAAAAAATGTAGTCAAAATAACACTATTGCATCTAGACTTCAAACTCCATTTGCCAAACTCTAAACTATGGGTATCATACTCCAATTAAAATTAAGGTGCAAAAAAACTTACACTTGCTGCAACACAAAATGCTCATTAAGCACCACCCGCCAAGGGGGTAGTTCAGTGGTTGATATAAATCCCACACCAATCACCCATTTAACCGAACCGGGACTCAAGTCTCATACCTTGCAATGGAGTACACACAAGGCTCTACCGTGACCTTGTAAGAGCGTAACAAGTCTATACAACCAACTCATTGATGCAAGAGGCGTACACCCACATGACATTCAAATATGAGATCGTTTTTTTATTGTTTTCCTTTCAAAAAATAAATAAATTTTAAAAAATAAAAATAAAAACGATGATTGTGTTAAGTTGTCTTGGCTCGCTTCCATACAATCACGGTGCCACCAAAATCAGAAGAGGCCAACAAGTTGTCACCGTGGTTCCAAGCAATTCCTATCACTGGATATCCATGGCCCTGCATACATACGTAACCTGCAACATGAAAGTTTTGCTGGGAAGTAAAGAGTATTCGAGAGCGTTCAGAGAATAATGCATACCTGAAGCTTGTTAACACAAGTACCCTTTGGCCGGGTTAAATCGTAGAAGTACACATTTGCATCCTCACTTCCAGCCACTTTGTGTAGTTTAACAGAAGATACGGGAAATATCCAAATGTAAATATTCGTATACGAGTAGCAAAAATTAAATATTCTCCACACACACAAAAACGATCAAAGCAAATCAAGCGCCTTACCAATGTACTCTCCTTTTTCAAGGGACAATAGGGGACAGAAAGCTGCACGGATGCTGTGCAACCGCGGAGCTAATTTTAGCGAGCAACGAAGGGTCAGATAACCCTGCACCTCCAAAGAGACACTGCAGAGCAAATTTGTGACATGATTAGGTATAGTTCGGTACAGTTTTCATTATATGGTTTCACATTTTCTTTTTTCCTTTTTAATGTACACAGAAAACACGTTTGGCATTCGTGTTTATGTTTTTTTTTGGAAAATAAAAATGGATACTAAAAAAGGAAATCCGCACTCGTGACATGAGCCCCGTGTTTTGGGTGTTTGTTAATTTAGCCTCAAATGTTAGAATAGAAACAAAAAACACTCAGTCCAAGTGTCTGCAATAAAAACAGACCGAGTGTTTTAGATATTTGCAAACAAAAACAAAAACAAAAACAAATTTTCTAAAACCATAAAGTCAGTTATTTCTTTCTTTTTATGGAAATAAAAGAAGTGGAAAATTTATTTTTGGGATAGACGAAAAAGGAAAGTGAAATTTTATATGGGGACGAGGGAGAATATAGTAACATATAAAGATCAATTGAGAGTCCATATATACCAACCTGAAGAAAGACAAGTTGCCATCACGAGTAAAAGTCAGCAACACGGGGCCGCGTGCTAGCAGAGAGAATGTTCTGTATTGAACACTTGTAACTGTTGTTCTGTGTTTGCTGCTACTCCAATGCCTACGAGATCTAGACACTGTACCTTTACGAGAGTCCATACAAACTGTGTATATACATCCCTGTATGTATTAACCAGCAAGCCAAAAATCAGGTTATAAACCATGGATGGATCGTCATTTCAGGAAATGTTTTTTAAAAAAAACATATTGCAGAGCAACAACCTGACCATCACCACAGAAAATAAGCTGACCAGTGTGATCATGATCCAAAGCAGTTACTTCCCCGTCAAAGTTAGCTTTGCTAATTGTTCTCCCAGTGCTGAAATTGAACACCTGAGATAAATAGCAAGATTTTAGTACTCTACAGGGTGAGAGAATGTAAATGTACTACAACTGAGGTCCTAGTTTGGTAAAGAAATGTTTAACTATCTTTAGCTCATATGTGAAAACATATTTCTTGTTATTATTCCTTCTTTAAAAGGTTGCAACATTAAAGGCATCCAGCATATAACTTCACCACAGTGCTTTTATTCATGAAGATTATATTGTCAAGTTAGTTAATACAACTAATTGAAATTAGAATTTCAGATCATTGACTCCAACTTAATTGGGATAAAAGGGCTGGTTATGATGTTTATGTGTGAATCAATGAATGAATGTTATAAGAGAGAACAAAAAACAAACAAACAAACAAACAAACAACAACAAAAGAAGGATACTTACATTTATTTCTTTATTTGAATTTCCAGCTGAAAGAAAGTTATTATTTACCTGAGACGAACCCATCATTATGTCAAATAGATTGCTGAAAAATCAAGGAACAATAATATTTTCCACTTAGCTTACAGGATGAAAGCGGATACATAGCTGTGAGCACGTTCCATATATCACCCTAACACATAGGCCTTTGGAAATATCCCATACTCGCACAGTTTTATCCATTGAAGATGAGGCAATGTATTGGTTATTTGTGGAGAAGTCAAAATCTGAAAAAGAGTGAAAGTTTATAACACGGGCATAGTAAAGGGGCTCCATGCCTTGGGTGAGAAGGGGAATGGAGCCACATATATTGATACAACCCTCCTCTGACATTTTATTTTTTGCTAAAAGGCTGTTTCTACGGTGATTCGGACCTACAACCTTACAACAACAACAACAATCCACTATAATCCCAACTCCGTTGGGGTTTAGAAGGTCAAAAAACATGTACGTAGCCTTATCCCTGTGAAATAGAGAGGCTGCTTCTGTTAACCCCTAAATGCATTACTAAATTTACTTCCCAAAAATTCATAGAAAGTATAAAGCAAGAGAAGCTTGAGCTTGAGCTTGTTAAAATATACTCCGTAAAATCTTTCTTGGGCCTACAACCACAAGCTTGAGCTTTTGATTATGTTGGTTCTTGGCGTGATGTTAGAGCATTGTTGACCTAAGGCACGAGTTCGAATCTCACCGCTTTCTTGTTTAAAAAAATCAATGTTCGCGTGCAGGTTCAAGCAAATACAATTCTCGCCTAAACGTGAGGGGCTATGTTAGAATATAAAAACCTTTCTTGGAACTACAACCAAAGTTTGAGCTTTTGGTTGAGTTGGTACCTTGACAAACCTCACCAGCAACTCAACTATTCCACAAAGCTTTGCTCTCAACACAGGCATAATAACTTCATTCATATTATTACCAATGTTCATTGTCCCCACATCATTTAGTACTTAGTAGAGAAATAATCATAAAGAAGACATACTCCCTCTGCCATAAAAAAGCTCTTGTTTCAAACATTTCTTTGTCCCTAAAAAAGGAGTCAAATAACTTGTTTGATCAATCCTAGCTTCTCTCATGTAAGTTTCGAAAAAAATGCATATTTGTTGCATTTGATTAGCCTTATTTAAACTAACAAAGAAATGGTTAGGATTCGTGATTTACGATAGCTGTACACACATTACTGAAAATAAAAAGTTTTACCTTGGTCAAGACTATTTTCTAAGAGACTGTGGCAGCATAAAAAAAGGTTTCACAAGAACTACATATTGTGGAGTGTCACTAAATTGAAGGGAAAAAAATGCCGACTCAATACTAGTCAATCTGACCTGTGATATCTTTTGTATGCCCTATCAACTCTTTAAGAATAGAAGGAGGCATAGAGACAGTGCACACTGTCAAACTCCCATCTGATGCCCCATACGCTAGCAGGTCAGAACTCATGTGCCCAAACTTTATGACCGTAACTATAAACAGTAAGAATGTGATTAGATGTAAAATGAAAATTGACAATATATAAAATATATAAGTTCATTTCATAAGATAAATTACCCATGGCCTTGCATTTGTCAAAGATGCAATGCATCCCAACAAACGAATATGCAGGTTCTGACTTTTTATGTGGACGGTCACTATCACTTGCATTTGAACTGAAACTCGTAGTGTGACTTAATGCTTGACTTTGACCAATATTTGGTAGATCCTGCAAACAAAGCATTTACAAACAAATTGACATGAATGAGGGAAGAAGTAACCTTACGCATGAATGTATGATACTCAAAGACCTCTTCATTATTAATATTAATGGAGTATGTGTTTCACATCAAATAAAATCTTAAGTAAATGTGAAATAGTAGAGGACTTATTGACATCATAGAAACACACACACACACACAGAGAAAGTGGCACACACCCTGCTAGTACTCCAGCTGTCTGCCTCAAACAAATGAGATAGCCGGTTTGGAGATGGTAGCCAACGCCCACTGATGCATCAACCAGGAAATCAACCTGATGTCAGATTGTATTGAGCACAGGCTTCAACAACAGTTATTAAAAGGAAATCTGCATATACACACATAAGCTTTCACCATTCTCTATGTAGATAGAAGTTCAACCATAAAAAGAAACTTATGAGCCACGGGTTTGTAAAAAAGAAATACATGCACACGCACACACTTGATCCAACTATCAGTCGTATCATTTGTTGTGAAAAAACTAATCTGAAATCCTTTTGATGAAGAGGTAATAAAAAAATGATTCAACTATAGTATTTTGTTCACCAAAAAAATAAAATTTGCAGAGGCAACGAAATTGAAAATTTCTTTTGTTTTGTGCAAATTATCACCTAGGAAAGAGTTGCTGAGATTGTCAAAGACAGCCTGGTGTTATGCGGCACTTTAGACACTCTTACAACCAGTGTGCTTGGAGAGAAAAATAGTAAAGATATTATTCGAGCGATAGACAACTAATTGCATTGATATTTATAGTTTCTCTAAGAGTGTAAAACTTTGCTTATTGGTACTAAAATTATTACTGAGAAACCAGTTATTACAAGAACTCCTGAGTTTTGGTAACCTAGTTTATGTTAAAAGTTAAAGGTATTGATCACATGTAATGACAGTTAAAACATTTAGCAAGTCAGCAAGATGCTTCATGGTAAAAGTTTGCATTCGAGATGTTTAGTTAGGTTTTCATTCCAACAAGAATATATAGGTCTCAAGTCTTCAACTACCTGTTCCCTGGGGTGCTCGAGCGGCTTGGTATCTGCAATCTTTCCCAATTCTTTGGCCGACTAATGAAATTACGATAGGCCACATAGCCCTTTCCATTGCTTCTCCAATCCTTCAATATCGATGAAATACTACCAAGTCATTACTTTCGTGAAGCTAGGTATATGAATAAAAAATCAAAAACTGCATTAAAAAAGAAATCATGAACGATTTTAAAAGCTACTTCCTTATACTCTAGCAGCTCCTCCATGGGTTCCCCCCCGCCCAAAAAAAAAAACATTCCCTAACCACATCCCCTCCCCTCATCCCAGAAAATAATCTTAACATCTTCTGTCTCTAGCAAATTTAACAATGTTTATTAATTGTTTCCTTTCTCCCTTTTAATCATCCCCTTCATTATTCACATGGTCTGGGAAATTTAATCCCATTTATTAACTGCATCCTTTCTCCCTTTTTTAATCATCCCAACTCTGTCGGAATTCACTGTCTTATGCTCCCCTCTCCAAAAACTATACCCTCTTTCTTTACATATTTTCATTAATTATTTGATAAAATTATAGTCATGTGCTCATGTCAACTCTTGGTTTATAGAATAATATAGTTTTTAAATATACACATTTTATTTTTGATCTTTACATCAGTTCTTAAATGAATTAAAATGAAATTAACTTCAGTCAAACATCATCTTGAATGGAAAGATTAAATAAGGACAAAGGGAGTTTTAAGATCAAGAAATGTAGAAGAATCAGGGAAATGGTAAGATTCAATTAGAAAAGCAGAGGCCAAACTAGCAACCAAGATGAAGCAATTGTTTACGAGTCAATCAAACATTGCAATAGTAACACATGCTGGTATTATATATAGCATTATCTAGGTGTTCTTTCTTCCAACTTGGAATTAAAAGATCTAGATGAAGATGACACATGCAGTTATAATTCACCTCTGGTTTGAAGAATGAAGATATGAGTAATACATATGATATACTAGGTCACACTCCAGTAAAAGGATCGGAAAATATGTTATAAACCAAAAAAAAACGTACTTTGCGGCAGAGAAGACCGGACTGGGCTTTTCGGTGGAGAAGAAGACGGCGAATTCCGACATAGTTAGGATCGGAGTCAGCAGGCGAAGGCTGAAGCATACAACAGAAGAAGTCGGGATCTAGAGCAATGTCCTCCTCCTTCCTCACCTTCTCCTCCGGGGCAGCATCCGGAGACGAGCTCTTCTCCGTCGTCACCTCCGCCATCATTCAAACGCCTTCCCGATGGCTTGCGAGATCGATTGATGTGTTTATAGAAGAAATGCGAGATCGCTTGGACCAGAACAAATCGCTGTTCACCATGGAATTCCAGTACTCCGTATAATTCTGCGATGACGAATCGCTTGTAAAAATCTTAATTGGGACTCATGTCACGAGGTTCCAATGTAAATTGAATCCTCCAATAATTTTGAATGTTAGAGGTGGAAATTGGGATAAAAAAACTGTGAACTCTCACCTAAAATATGTAAGTTATATGATACAATCGACTATATCCATATCTTGGTACAGTTGTGGATCGATGAAGGACTGCAACACGAAAACCCTAGAATTGGGGAAAGCGATGTGCAGAGATGGATGAAGGTGGTGGATAAAAGTTTACTAAAAAAACTAATAGGTAACTTATTTTGGGATAGAAAAAACAAGACAATTTAAATTGAGAGAAAGAGTACTAACTACTGAATAGTTAATTAAATAGCCCATTTTACCATTTGTATAAGAAACAAATAAATGTAATTTTTTTATTCTTCGATTATACACAAAAAAATTCCAGAAAAAAAAGAGGATAAGGGGCGGTGGTTGTTAGCCATACGCATAACTTTTTGGAGAGGAGGAGAGCGATAAAGGGCGGTATGACTTTATATGATATGGTCGACGGTCGATGATGAAGACCATCAGTGCTTGGAGAATAGCTTTTTGGATGACTTATGACTAACATTGACTTTTTTGACTAATCAAAGAGCAAAAATCATTGTTTGGCTTATAGTTTTTAACTTAGCTGCTTGATCTCAAAAGCCAAGGTGAATAGCTTTTGGATATGGCAGTTAGAAAAATTAATTTTTTTTAATCATTTCTCTTGAAAGATATTAAATAGTATATGTGAAAAAATAAAAATTTCCTTTAAAAGTTCTTCCTCTGTAGAAAAATAATACTCCGTATCATTTTTCTTAAAAAATATATGTAAATGCTCTTTAGAAGTTATTTAATTTTTTCATTTTATACTTCCTCTCGTAGTGTACGTACTTCTGTACCCTCCAAAAAATAAAACCGAAACAAAAGAATAAGCCAGGGTCGATTTAATGTAGGCAAAAAGAGGTAATGCTATCACATGGGGTAGATAGATAGATACCTATGAGATATATACTTTAATTTTTCAAGAAGTAACAAATGTGAATAAGAAGAAGAAGAAGAAATAAAAAATAAACAATGGAGTAACAAAGTTAACAGGTAATAGCTTTATCAAAGGCAAGTTCATTATTTGCTTGTTTGGGAAATGAATTGACACCTCACCCACTTTATCCTTATTGAAACTCATCCGTTTAGATCTCACAATGATATAGTAAATCATAAAATAAAAAAAAATGTTCAGATCCGGCTGAACGATCACACTTAAAGAATATAAATTGAATTTTGATTGGAGATTGATGGCAGAAAACGTAGCCTATATCTGGTTCATACAGAAATCCCATAAATATCAATCTACTTCATTAATTGATACCAAGATTTTTTTTTGCATGGTATTGATACCAACATTATATTGTCTAGAATGTTGTAATGGAAGTAAATACTCGTTTTTTATTCGATTTATTATTTGAATGTTCTAATCCATTGTTATCCAGGATTAACTCGACACTTACATAAGTACTCCGTATTCTGTTTCTAAAATTAATATTTTCTAACCATTGTCTTTCCATTTCAAAAGTTGGGAAACATTTTATGTTCTAATCCATTGTCTTTCCATTTCTTACTTTTATCTGTCACAAAATAATTATTTTATGTTTTTTCTTTTTTTACAAAAGAATATACATTATTTAAAAATACACTCTTTTTGAAATAAGTTACAAAACGAGTAAATAATATATATTTTTAAAAATATTTTTTGTGATGGGTAAAAAAAATTATAATTATATTATTTGAAGAGACTTTAGACTTTGTGCAACTAAATTATTCCCCTAAAACAGGGATTATGAGGCTCTATTTTGTCGGAAACCGTACTTATCTTTATCAATTAAGGAGCATATATTTACACTTATTTAGCACGCACGAAAAAGAAATTAATTTTGGCGTGAGAGAGAATTCTTTCCCAACTTTTGACCGAAATATCCTCAAGAAACCTCATTATTCTATTTACTAAAATAAAATAAATCGGTTCACACTAATTTGGTTGACAATTTTTTACACTGAGGGTTTTGTTTGGTATACAGAATTGATGAAATTGGAATTGAATTGAAATTGAAATTCTATGGGATTCAATTCCATAGTATTGAATTCTACTCATTTCAATTCATTTTTTGCACTATCAATTCCAAATCCACATAATTTTTGTGCTACCAAACACCAGAATTGGAATTGATGTCCTCAATTCCAATTCCATAGTTTGAATTCTGTGTACCAAACGGGACGTGAAGTGAAATATAATATTCCCTTGCGAAAACTAGTGATAAATATCCTTGAAATTTGCCCATCCCCTTTCTTTCTTCCCTTATTCATTGTTTGGCAACAATATTTGTTATTGCCACCCAAATATAAAAAGGATATTGGGTGTTCCAAACGAAAAATTAAGAGCATGAACAATAGTAAGGAAAAAAGAATGTCACACGCTGACAATAAATCAACCAATAAAAAATGGTTTAGTCACATAGTGTCAAATAAGTGGAGCGGCACACCCTACAGTAGCAAGTCGTTACTTTTGTCGCTTTTTAAAATTTTTGTAATGTATTTTAATTATTAAAAATAATTTTTGCTATTTGTTTTATTAAAAAATACTTCTACCTCCTTACAAAAAAGAGTTTTTTTCTCAAAAATAAAAAAAAAATAAAAAAGAAAAAAGAGAAAAAGATGTGTGGGGTGCCTTGCAGATGCCTTGCTCTCTGTGGTGGAATGACTTACCTCTCTATGCTAAGCATGGCAAATTATTTCTTGGCAGCTGATGTGGCAAGCGTGGCAGACATTTGCCTCGCCCGCTGCCAGTGCTCTAATAGTTCCTACCTCTCTAGCTAACTCTCTTCTTAAACCCTCACGTCACCCCCCACCCCAGTCTGACCCATACACCCCCACCCTAGACCCCCCTTTACTCTCTTTAAATGTGTGGCTATTATGCAATACGAAAGATTTGAAACGAAATCAAATCCAAAAAATGTAACATTTGGACTTTTATGAAAACTTATCAATTCAAATGAGAGAATTCGCCATTTTCTTTTAAAAAACACGCCATTTTCTTTTAAAAAACACACTATATCGATTCCACAATGAACTTCATACTTTATATTAAGAGTTGACCCGATGATATGATGGCCATGCACGAGACAAAACATAGGCATCTATCCTACGAACTAATAACTTAAATTATACTCATTCCGATCTCAAAAATACTTGTTCTTTTATTATTTCAATTTCACATTAAACACTTCCACTTTATATTTAAAACCCACTTTTATCTTTACTCTTTTCATACCCTACCTATTACTTCATACTTTTTTCTCTAATATTCTACCCATCACATTTTATTTTTACCCATCACATTAAGGGCAAAATTGGAAGTCAAGTACAATTTAACACTTTCTTATTTTTATACTTGGTTAAAATATGAACTTTTTTTTAGAACGGAGAGAGTATGAATTATTTTTTAAAACAATAATTAACATTATAGTTCTATAAATAAAAAATTAAAATTATAGTATTATAATTAATTATCGTAATAGTATTATTAAAATAATATATACAGTAATATATATTAACAAAAATAAATATTTGGCCCCCGTAAAAAATGGACCTAGCCCAGTAGGGCACCTTGACCCACCCTTAGGCCAACCCTATTATTATTTAGATGTCTAAAAAAATTCACACTTCTTTTTTTAATTTTGTTTTATGTAATTTCATAATTTTGGGATTAATTTTTAAACTTTGGTCATAAATTATGGGAAAAAATTATTAAATTGAAATATAAATTTAATATTAATAAATTCATTTTGAAACGTAATTTTAAAATATCATATCTTTATAAGTTACATTTATACTTTTTATATAAATAAAAATATTAAGGATTAAAATAGTACTAGTGTATTGAAGTTCGAGAGAAATCAAATACTCCCTCACTTCCAAATGGTAACCTACATTTCGAATAACGTGTATACTGTCAATTATTTTAAAATTATTTACAAATTGGTAGATGAGTTAAAAGTAAAAATTACATCGTTCAAAAATAGATCGAAAGTTCTACACTATAAGATGCGACAAAAATATTACTCCGTATATTTTATCAAATAATCAACCAAAACGAGTAAGCAACCAAAGATTATCGAGTGACCAAAATAGTACGGAGTAACTGTTACTCACATTTTCGAGACGGAGAGGGTTAAAAATAGATTAAGAGAGAGTATTAAATTGGCTAAAATCCACCATTGGTCCTTCAACTTTATCAGTTGTGCACGATTGGTCCTTTAAGTTTCAAAAGTCCATAAATAGTCCTTCAACTTTATGAATTCTACACCATTAGTCCTTCAAGTTTCAAAAATCCATAAGTAGTCATTCAGGTATACGTCAACTTCCATGTGAAGTCATTTTGACAGTAAATATTAAAAGTTAAACGAAATACTAGTTTCATATAATACTAGTAAATTCAACTAGGTACGACTACTCCGTATTATTTAGAGCTAGGATTCCATTTAGCTTTTACTCCGTAACATTTACTGTCAAAAGGACTTAATCTGGAGGGATGATGTGTATCTGAAGGACTATTTATGTACTTTTAAAACTTGAAGAATCAATCGTGCATAATTCATAAAGTTGAAGGACTATTTATGAACTTTTAAAACTTGAAGGATCAATCGTACACAATTGATAAAGTTGAAAGACGAAGTAGTTTAGCCTATTAAATTATTTGATGTGTTTATCGTGACCAAACGGAGCACAACAATTTTTATGTACTCGAATTACATATAGCGATAGGAAAGCTTCATAAGAAATAGATGAAGCCGAAAAATGTGGAGTGGGAGAGGACCAAAAGAGGGCACTGTAGCTGTAGAGTAGCTCAGAATTGAGAGGAGTGGAGATATTTGTAGTTAGTGTGGAGTCTTCTTCTTCTTCTTCTCCTCTTCAGGTTTTTTTTAACTATTATTTGGATCATCAGAGAAAAAATTGACAGAGAAAATCTTGAGGAGCTGTGGATGGTGTTGTGATCATGGGGAACACACTCCGAACACTGGGCCCAAATTCCGAGCAAACCCAAGAAACCCAATCCGCCATTGTTGACCCGGCGGAAGAAGAATCTCAGAACGGGCCCTTCACCTGCGAAATCTGCGTGGAGCCGATGATCTTGCCAAGAAAGTTCAAGAACCGGGCCCTCTGCTCCCACCCCTTCTGCACCGACTGCATCGCCAAGTACATCGCCGTGAAGCTGGAGGACAACGCCGCCGCGATTCAGTGCCCCGCCGTCGACTGCCACGAGCTTCTGG